AAATAATTGACTATTTTTATTCAAAATTTAAACGTCACCGTCAAGACTTCGAGTGAGACTAAGAAAAGCGCAGGTTAGGTTAGTTTGACATTTCATTACGAATCCTACATTAATTCTTTGAGCAGTTCTGAATTCAGCAAAAAAAAAACAAATCTCTAACCTAAAATAAGGTCCCGAAATCTTTGGTTTACCGACCAAAAGTGTATCTACACTTTAAGTAAAAGTATTTCAGCAAGACGCGCAAAAGAAATGTTTATACACTATCCAAATACTTGGATTCATTAATTAATTCAAAATATTACAAAAAGCATAATTCATATTATTTGCTTGGTGTATTGTAACTTGTGATAAATGTACTAATTTTTTATTTGTTTAGCTCCAACAGCTGATGCATTCTTCTGTGCCTCATTTGATTTCGTTTCATTTTCATTGTTTTTTTTATAACATAACAATATCCTAATACATTGTACTTATTACACAAGTCAATATCACGCCTTCATTACTATCTTTCATTGGCCTGCTGCCTAGTGCCACGGTCAACGGTCACGGGTCTACAGAAATTATTATTATAATTGCAAGTGATAATATCACTTTAATAAAAATAACCGCTTCGATGCGAATCTGTGGGTTCGAACCGGTACAGTAAGAAAGTATTACACCCAAGCGACTAGTAGTAGTAAGTGAGCGAGTAAGGCAGGTCTAGTGTTCCCAGATAAACACACTAATATCGATAAAAGCAAATAATAATTGTATAATGTGTTACAGCTTATTCTAGATCTAGACCTTCGGTAAATTGTTCCTAAATCCCTAAAAAAAAAATTGCTTGAAAAACATTTCTATTCCTTCTAGGGGAAAGGGTTTATGATATTTGTTTGGGTTATCAACGTTTATCTAGTAGTACTGGACATTGTATATACAAATTTTGAAGTAATTGCCAATATACAACCTAACCGGCACACGATGATTTACTATCCTTCGGAAGGAAACAATTCTATCATTTGATTTGTGCGATGACGGTGGCACTGGCTCTGTCGTCACAAGAAAAAAATGTATAAATAAAAACTATCTTTGCGTCACATAGATAGGTACATGTTATATTATTACAGTATAATAATTATTATTGTCCTTGCACTTGGCCTTTCGGAGCGGACTCGTTGACCGTCATCGAAACGGCCAAAAAAATATTAACAAAAAGTAAGAAAGAAACACTGTAAGCGAAAAAATTCTAAAAAAACTAAACCGATGCCCCTACACGCCCAAAAAATTTTTAATTATAAAACAACATCCGCTATGCAACGAAACCAATAAGAGGAAGTCCGGTCGGGGGGTCACGAGTTCCGGATTCGACACATAAGGGATTCGGCGACGGCCTCGGGGTTCTGGATATTATACTTAAAATTAAAAAACAACCTTGCTTCAACGTCCACGCTGTCTCGTTTGGTTGAAAAATTTGTCAAATTTACGGAATTTTGGTCAATCGTCATTACAAGTAGGGGCCTTTAAAAGTATAACATCATAATATATAATATACATAATGACGATATAGTAATGATATGTGGACGACCTTAGGCACAGAGTGACGTAGGTAGATGCATGTAAGTATATTAATATTATCCGAGAACCTTCGAGGAACACTCATAATATAATATGTACAAGTATTAAGTGCAATCGACGTACGGTTTTTTTCATTTTATGTATAATAATTACATTAATAATTGTGTAACGCGCTGAACGGCTTTGAACTAGACTAAAGCTCGGGCAAAAACCGTTTCCGCAAATATACACACACATACATATATATATATACATATGTATATGACCTAATATATGATATATTAAGACATACTGTATATTACTCATAAGATAAGACGTGATGTCATTATTTAAAGAAAAAAACTGCTATGGCTTTTAGAAAAATAGATTTACAAAAAAAAAAACAACAACACTTGCAAAAAGATACTCAAATATTTAAAACCAAGAAAAATATTACATCTTTATACACAGTAATATCTAAACATTAATAATAATACAAAAATATAGTTTTTTGCCAAATTGATAACTAAAATTAGCAACACTATGTCTCAGTTGAAAACCTGAGTAATTTTAACTCCTCAACCAAATTAACCAAGTTGGTTAATTGGTATTCGAGCCACTCATTACACTTCTGGGTAGTAGATTCAAGGTGATAGCACAGATTAAATAAAACCAGACAGTGCACTCTAAGAAAATCGAATAACATAAACAAACTTTAATAGTCTCAGGTCAGTGTGATTAAAGAAAAAAAAAAAATTAAAGAAATAATCCTTTTGTTGTACAGTGCGATTAAGGAATTTGTAACGAACGTCTGCAATGTTATCACTACGTCTTGTTATCAGTAATTCTTATCAGTTTACGTTATCATTGTAATTAGCGTGTCACTATAATTTGGCCCGACCGCATTAAGTTTAAACCAATTAAAGGTGGTAGCCTCAAAGGGGTTTAAAGGTAGATTAAATAGGCACAAACGGAGCTGTTGTTGTAAAATAAAGAGTTAGTTAAAATATGTAAATGCGTTTTTTTTATTAAATCGACTGTTTTATTATTATTTTGCTGTCATCACAACAACTGTTTGAGCAGGATTTTTTTTTTATCCTCGAGCGGTACTCGAGTCCTTAAGTCCTCAAATACTTGGCGAGTCAACAAATAGTGTGCAACTCATTGTCGCCTTAAATCGATTCGTTTGATTTCGACCGCGATAAGCAAACATTTAAGTATAATATTATCGTGAAAAACAATTCCCAGAAGTGAATTTCGGTGCTCGGCCATAATAATTGTCAATAAAACAAAGTCGATACAAAACCGGCCAACGCAATTGACAGCACGCGCCGGAACTGATTCGATTGCTTTTGGTGGAATTTTCAAACAAAACATATTGGATCCGTGTTGTATTCAATTTCATGAAAAGTAAAAATACTACGTTACTTTTCCACGATAAATATTAAAATGTTAAGTTAGGCGATGATAACACAGCCGTAAATCTGATAAACCATGGAAACAACGGAACCAATAATTATCATGGAAAAAACAATAACTATTAACAATATGGCTGCCTCCTGCTAGTGGACATTTTTTTTATAAACAGCCGACTATACAGGCAATGCGCGTTCCGTTTAATATATATTGAGTTCAGTGATGGTGTGTTTGCAATTGTATATTCAGTAATAGATTAGTTACGACGACTTGGGTTGATCTATGCAAGTGTTTCCATTATTTTTGTTGTTTCATTGTCGAAAGTGAATTTAACCAGCCGAACGCTGCTTTTGGAAATTGTGAATTGTACTATTAATTATCCGACTTAGTCATATTAAAAATAATTTCATCGACATTGTAGACATCATAATGAGCAAAATAATGCCATCTAACCAAACTGAACACGATGGAAATGACAAATCAATGGAAGGATGTGAGAAACAGTTGAAAAAACAAATGTTAATTAACTTACTTTTTAACGCGTTATTACACACAAAGTCAAACCGTTGGGATAATAGAAAAGTTGTAATTATTTTTTTTTTTTTTTTAAAATCACGGTAATTAAAATGAAAAAAAAACAAGACTCTGCAACTTGAGAGCTTTTCGCGAACAGGAAGTGATAGATGTAGCTGTTGTAAGAATGAGGATCCAATTACACGTAAAAAAATAGTAATAATATTATCCCGTTGAAATATGTTTTGTGATTTGTATTTTCTTCGATAATGGCGTTCGGTAGCATAATATAATATTTCTATATTTAACGCGACACGATTAGCAATAACCGTAATGCGACATTAATTGTATGTCCTCAAAAGCTGTTCAGTTACGTCAAAAGGTCGTTGGTGAAATAAAAAAAAACCAACGACCAGTGTGTTTTTTATAATAATAAAAAAATCAGCCGTGTAAAAATATGCAGACCCGATCGACTGGTTTGCTTCAGGAAAATGCCAAGTTCAATGACTTATCTATACAATATTATAATTATTATACAACATTATTAATATATAATTAATTATATAATAATATTATTAATATATAATTAATTTATGATAAATTGTTAATATATAATTAATTTTATAAGAATATTATAATAATATAATATGTGTTATTATATAATGTATAATATTATCTTATATGTGTGTATACACATTTATGCCCCCCTACCCCGAAAAATCTTTAATATAGATTTAAAGAAAGAAAATGTGAAATTTTCAACTTGATCTGATAATATTTAGAGTCCACTCAAAGCCATTTTGTCGAATCCATTTGTTTAACACGTGTGAGGTTAGGTAATACCCTTTTTTAAATTTTTTTACTATATTACTGCCTTATTTACTTTTGAAGCTAAAATATTCGGAACGAACTCGTTGGAAAGAATATGAAAGTAACTAAAAAAAAATATACATATAAACGAGGACAATATTTGATATCACTCGTTGAAAGTTCATTTGAAAATAAAAACTTGGTTTTTTTTTAAGTTAACAAACACTTTTGTCAATAAACCAATAATGAGCTAAATATTAATCTCAAAATATAATTTTTTTTTTTTTCATCTTTCCAACTGACCTCTTCTAATATTGGAGCTTTAAAATTGAAAAATTACAATAAAGTTAAAAAAAAAAAACTGTAATTTTCACACGTTTTAGTCGAATGAACAAAAAATAGCTAATAGCGTCAATTCTAAATATTGTCCGATCAAATTTTGTCTTTTTTTTTTTTACCCTAAATTAAAGGATATTATGGTAAACAAAACAAAATTTTTTTTTTTAAATCTAGGTTTAATACCATATATTCCTCGTTCGTTTCCGCGTTTTTCAATTAGGCGTTGTACTGTTCTAGCCGTTGAGGTTTTTACGAGATTGTCATTTTTCTTTTTTTAAACGCCCAACAGTTTACGCGCTTTGCGGGGAGAACAGTGCGATTGTTTTTTTTTTAACTTAAACTCTAATATTAAGCCGAAACACTCTATCGATCAACTATCATCATCTTACCTAAGCCCCGAAAGCCGTCCGCTCGTGAATCCGCTCGTGTCGATCGACAGACACAATAAGAGAATCGTTGATTGTCTTGTTAATCCGCCAAAGACTTTGATCGACGGCGGTCGTCCGAGTTTGAGGAGCACTCGTGACTTTTTACGCGGTTTTTTTTTACTCTCACGAATTAACCGGTTTCAACGAAAGCGCGTGCAAAACTGCCGGTCGGTCCGTCCATCGGTCTCGACAACGACAATAATTATCATCGTGTGCCCCTCGCTTCGCCCTCACCTGCCTGGTCGAGCCGTCGTCGCCGTTGTCGTCACCTGTACAATATAATATACAACAATATTATAATCGAACAAATCGTAAGACGTTATGTGCACTAACGGGGGGGGGGGGGGGGGAAAGACGAGGAGGCCTCAAAGGAGAAGAAGAAGCACATAAGCACAAGTATGGAAAAAACAAAAAAAATGAGTAGAAGGTGTCGGCGGAGGTGGAGTCGATTGCGGTGTAGGTGTGTGGACACATGGCATCAACAAGTGGCCACTTGTTGATGGTAAACGAGCGGTCGTGTGTGTGTGCTATCAGCTTTTAATCGCGTGGGATTAGTCGATAATATATTAAATAATATTGTGTTGTGCAAAAAATTACCTACTTTTTTTTTCCTTCACACGAGTAACACGGCGATATTTTGTTCCCGCGTTTACATTTTTCCCGCATTCCTTCGTCGTCGAGACATCCTTTTCGAAATCCAAACGCACACACACACAACCGTACCGGACCGCGGTCACGCAGCACCTATAATAATTGAATTTAATTATTATAAAATATGCTTTTTTTTTTTGGGACTAAGTAGTAGACACGACGTATGTAGTGTACGTTCGAAACCGGGGATCGCACTGGGGCCGATGACTGTCACGGCACACAAACACACACACACTATGGCCAACACTGAGTATGTGTATGATAATAATATAGCACAAATAACCAACGACTAAAATAATATATTTGAATCGTATAGTGGTAGCGGTCGTCACACACTACCGCGTGAGACCGTTAAGGTTTATTTTTGGATACGACCAACGGCGCTAAACATAGCCCGGCTGACTTGGCGGCCGGCTACATAATAATAACGTGCAACGCAGTTGACCCAAAGCATAGATATTAGCAAAAGAAGGGTCACTTTCAATATGTAAACAAAAATGTGACGACCATTTTGTAAAGACCCGTGTTAGTTTAATATCTATACACAGCTAAAAATAATAATAATATATTATGGTCTATGGATACCGGGAGGTGGTTCAGTGTGACACAAACTGCAGGACTTAAGTCAGTCTGATAAGAAATCAATATGACAATAGTATGTTGAAAGAAAGACAAATATTTTAAGATAAGAGGTGAAACTTTTTTTATCACATAGAGTAGGTACCAACCGCTTAACAATGTTGACTTTTATTCTTTCTTTTGTGTGGCCATACTGATTTTAGTCCTACTATTTACTTCACTGTCGCATACAAGCTAGTGTATGATAGTTCATCTCTTTATATTATTACTCTTAAATGTAAGCAAAAAAGTGACGGCCATTTTGTAGCGACCTTCCAATGAACTTACCTTACCTTTTCTTTTCTATTTAGTACTATCAGTTCAAAATAATGATACTACGGTTTGTATTTTATAGAGAATATATGTTTAAATTAGTTATAAATCTTAAATTTGCTAGTTGCTAGTATATATTTGTTTAAAATTAGTTATAACGTTACAAATATTTTAGTTTTTTGAAAATGGTCACACTGCGACGTCGTAAGACTATGGCCGCCGCGTTTTTGTGTGACAGGCATCTTTCCCGTGTTAATTTTTATCAGTGTCCGAGGTCTGGTTAACCGGCCTACGACCACAAAACATTAAATAAACCATACTCAACCATTGCCTTAAATTAAAAGCACCGTATTTTCTGAAAATGTAAATAAACTAAAACCCTCCTCAACTAGAGAGTAACCACTGGTAGGAAAAATAAATTATTTATGAGAAATTATACTTTCTGACCTGAGCATCGCCAAATTTGTATTTAGATTGTTGTCGCCGTAATATTATCACAGAACCAACGGAAGAGAAATTATATCATTTTTAAACGGGCTCGACTTATGAAAAGAGATAATATCGTGTCGGCCATTTTGAGAAATGTACAGTGCTGGTAGATGTAGAGAAATTCTCATATTTCATTCATACTGACTAAACTGTTCAGTCGACAAACTTAACAAAATGTTTTGTACGATAATGTAATTTTTAGGACGTGGTCACACTAAGTCGGGGATGGTTCAATCGGTTTTATCGAATCTGTGCTATGACCAAAAACGTTGGCAAGCCAAACTCACTGAAAAGTCTAAAATTTAAACAGAAGTTAGATCCAGAACGCTCCTATAATATCTGAGTTTTTTATAAAAAATCTTGGTCAAACATTTTTTTTAATTAAGGAAACTCAAAAAGGAAGCCCTCTTGGCTTGGCTACGTTTTCAATCCATGTCTGAAAGTGATCATTATAACATTGATATGTTATTGGATTGCATACAAGAAATTTCATGTCGCCAATTTCACTTTGAGTTAGAAATAAGATATGAGTGATAAGAGATAAATGATAAGAAATAAGAGATTTCATACTGTTTTTTTATTTCAAACGGGTAAATAGATAATTGTTTTGTTTGGGTTTTGATTAGGGCTCCCTATTTCACGTGAATCACGGCTCACGGATTCACGTGAAATTAATCACGAGTTTATAAGACCCATGATTGGAAATTGTGCGTGAATTAAAAATTTTATTCACGTGATTCACGTGATATTACGTGATATCACGTGAATAATATTAATATACGTGATCACGTGAATTTTGTACAACGTATTTACGTGAATTAAACATACGGATTTTATATTACTTTTATTCACGTGATCACGGAACCGTGATCACGTATGTATTATTTCACGTACGAAACCGAGACCCCTAGTTTTGATTCAAAAAGAAATTCATATTATGTTTTACAGTTTTGATGATTGATTACAAGCAAAAAGATACATTTTTTTATTGGTAAAATCACAGTTTAGAATGTGTACCCAAGGCTAATGAAAAATGTACGTAGGTACCTGCTATAAGTATTTATCTATTGCGTGTCTTTATAGACAAAAATTATCCCAATTATATCGGTTAATGGCCATCACAGGTTGTTTGTACTAAAAGGCAGAACACACTGAAATTAACTGCACATTTCTTCTACTGCACTGTTGTCGGTACACACGTTTAAAAAAAAAAACTATGCGCACATCATAATCGTCGCACACGGATTTACCTGTATTGCTATATTTTAGTCATTACACGATTGCAGTCTGTCGTCGCCTTAACGATATAACGACCCAGCAATAATAATTATGCACAATTAGGAAATATGTTCCATGGAAAATATTACACCTAACACGAGTAACGACCGTCGGGTAATCGGTTAACGACCGCGCCCAATATTGTTTTATTATTATGAATAAAATGCAAACATTCAATGGGAACCGAATCTAATAAAATAGTCTCTAATAGTCTGATAGTCTCTTTGGCTGTAGGTTTGGTTAAGCCCAGCTATCTTGAAACCACCGTCAAAATAATAATACGTTGGTAACACTGTCAATTTTGTTTTTTTTATTGTTTCATCCCTCTATCGCGGATTAAATAAAATCAGCTGATAGTGCAATCTAAAACAAAATCGAAAAATATATACAAACTTTTAATAATCTCAAGTCGGTGTGACCAAAAAATTCAAAAAAGTAATCCTCCTGTAACACAGTGTGGCCAAAGAAATTTAATCAAACGTTTGTAATGTTATCACCATCAACCGTAGTTAATCAACTGCTTGTTATCAGTAATTCTTATCAGCTTACTTTATTATTGTAAATAGCGTGTATTATATTTTGGGCCCTACAATTTGGCCTTACTGCATTAAGTTTAAATTATTCAAAAGTCGTTATTTGAAAATCTATTATTTTACTATGAAGTGCATTTTCTAGTTTTTTTTTTTTGTTAATCTATCTTCAACCAGGGGGAGCACATTTCTGGGCAGCGGGTTGGTAACCGACAAGGGCAAGCTGTCATAGGTTCCCAAGCCATCCTATAGTGTTATTCTCCAACTGGTATAACATTGTTATAACCTAATAACCTGAATCCGTAGAAGGTTTTTATGAGATCAAATGGAAAAAGTAGGACAGGAACGAGAAAAATAATTGGGAACGTAGATTGGAATGAGACTTATGGCTAATGGCAAGAAATGTGACCTTTTAACAACTTGCACATAAAACAAACATCAAATTAACGAAGTCTCCTAGACAAGGGATCGAAATTAAAACCACAGTGATATAAATTAAGCTCAATTAGTGTTGTTGTTCAATTGTAATTTTTCAAAAGATAATTACCGTGAAGACGACTGACCTGCAAAGGATTCCAAAAGATGCTCTCATACTCCAAAATAGGTCTTACCAAAGAAAGGTATAAAGTCTTAAACACAAGAATGTGTTATTGAACTGCTGTGTATTGCGTATAAATGAAAGGTTTATTAAAGATTATGAAATACAGCTTGACCTTAACAAAAAACTAAATACCTGAAAAAGTGGTTGGGGAAAAATTCAAGACCGGGTTATGAATTCCCACATGACAAAATTCGTGAGGTGTGTGACGTTGAAAGGCAATGGACTAGTGTGGAGTTGTTAATGGTTGATATTTTTCTTTAAATGCGCACTACCTATAAATAAATTGCTGTCTCTCTACTCTGTACACAATACCGTGTTCGCCATTCCACTGCCAAACTCACTCTTGGCTGGCTTTGATCTCGTCGGAATTAAGAGCTCATTCAATTTTCTACAAAAGATAACGGGACACTTGAATATAATATATGATTTATAAATATGATGTATTATCATTTTTCGATTTCTGGCTATCTATTATTAAAAAATGGTCCTTTTTCCAAATTCATTTTCAATTGAGACAACAGATATAAAACCAAACGTTTGAGAATGACTAATTAAAGGTAGATACAAATATTATAATATGATGTCGAATTAAACACATGTGTGCAAACGACATGTGACTTGAGCGCTTATAAAACGTTTTTTAATGTCTTATATAATAAATCATTGTATAATAATAATATATATATGACTCTTATAAAACAAATTTGTTTGGCGGAAAAAAAACGAACCTCGATTATTTACAAGACACTTGAAACAGCAACTTAGCGTCGGTTTGACCATAATAATATTAATAAAAAAATACATATATATATATCTGTTTCAATGTAGA